GTGAGTGAAAGAGAGAGAGAGAGAGAGAGAGAGAGAGATTGGCAAGGGAAGTCAAAGGTCACAAAGAGCTTAAGGTCGACGTTTCCCTTAGGGAGAATCGATTCTTTACATCAACCATGTAATTTCAATATTTCAAATTCCAACTGTTGTTTCGTTACGTTTGTCTTCTTATTTCTGTTAGACACTTGATCTATCTTTTTATTTTCCTATTTCTTTCTATTTTTATCTCTCTCTCTCTTTTTAGCATATTTTTTTTTATTTTTTATTTTTTGGTCCCCCTTTTCAATCTAATATCACGAAACGATAAAATGTTAAGAAGATAGATATAATATATTTTTTCTTTTTCTTTTTTTTCACTTACAATTTATTTATTTATTATTTTCCATCATTAGTTATTTTAATTATATTGATATATAGAAAAATGACGAAAGAATATTGATTATTGTGTTTCATGAATTATTATTTAAATTTCTTTACGCGAATAAATCTTGTCATTTCTTTAACTTGTTTCTTTATTTATTTATTTATTTATTTATTTATTTATTATCCATCAATTAATCTATCTATCTATCTATACATTTACCATTTTCTATATTTATTTCTTTTATGATACTTTTTAGAAATCCATACTCATTCTTTTCCATCCTACTATCTCAAAGGAATTAAAAAAGAAAGAAGATCTATATATAGAAATAAACTTTGCTATTTCTCTCTCTCTCTCTCTCTCTCTCTCTCTCTCTCTCTCTCTCTCTCTTTCTCCTCTTATCTATCTATTTATCTATTTATTATTAATCTTTCTTTCTTTCTTTCTTTCTTTTATTCGTTAAGTGTAATATGTATCTACTTTCTTCTTTTCCCAATACCCTGAATGAATGATAAAGATAATATCTCTTTCTAAAGATAAACTATTCTCTCCCTCCCTCTCTCTTTCTTATTCTTTCTTTATCTTTTTCTCTTACTCGTGTATTCGATAGAAGCTTTAAATAACACAACAAGCCTTCATCCCACAATATATATAAATCCTTTTACGTTATACCAATCCTACTATTGTTTCCTAAACTTCGAACTAAAGTTATCTGTACGCATACACATTTATATATATATGTATATATATATAAATATATGTGTGTATAGACGCATAAGTTATAAACTGGCCATCGAATCCCCGGTTAAAACCCACTCTAATTCACAGGAGTTTCAACATTGACCAAGTTTCCTTCTATATTACCAGAGAGATACGATATTACTTTACTAGTAAACGTTAATTCAAGATATACTAATAGTTAGTAGATAATAGTTAATGTATAATAACGATAAGTGAATTTTCTTTTTCTTTTTTTTTCACATCTTTCATTTTTCTCACACTCTCTCTTTTTTTCTCGTCCTTTTTTCTCGTAAGGATTTAAATTCCATTTACTAGTTCAAACAAAAATTTGTAACTTTGATTTTTTAAACGATTATTATACACCACTTTGATATATTATATCTATAAAATAGTTTATCTCAGTTATTAAATAGTTTTAAGAAAATAAGCTTTTAAAACAGGAAATTAACAACTAACTATTAAATGTTAATCACATTTTCAATGAATTCTTCTTCTTTGTAAAATCTTATCGATTTATTACAAGTTTTAATATCTATCGTACTCTATATGTTTCTCTCTCTCTCTCTCTCTCTCTTTCTCTCTAACTCTCTCTTGAATCTAGGAAAATAGATGGTAGAAGATAATCCAATGTGTTTCGAAACTTACTACTCTCTAAGACAGAGTTTCCCCATCCGTTTATAATTCGCGTAGCATATCCATTAAAATTTATTTCTAAAGTATATTTCATTATTATTATTATTATTATTATAATTATTATATTTTATTATTAATATTTTATTCGCGTATATTAATATATTTAATTATCTATTATTTTATTATTATCATTATCTCAATATTAATATTTTAATTTTAATATGAATTTTATATAATACATTAATAATACTAACCCTTGTATGATTATTATTAATTTTATTAGATTAATAAATTTATTCCTCTTCTCTAGCGATCATAATAATAAAAGTGTTACACATGAATTTATAATAAAATTTCTAATTATATCTAAACCCTGTGTAATCTCTTCTATATAAATGGATAAATAAAAAAAGAATTTCTTTTTTCTTTTCTTTTTTTTCTTTTTTATTTATAATTATATATATAAAAAAAACTTCTAAACCATGTCAAGTGTGGGGAGGGGGATTGTTCGTTCATTTTATATATTACTTTTGATATCAAGTTTTTATATAAGTTTACAATGGTAATTCCCAAAAGTTTTACCACATAGTTTTAGTTGAGAAACCCTGGATTAAACGATACTTCGGTGTTAATGTAATCATGTCAATGTAACTGGTTCATATACGTGTTCATGTAACAGAATCATGTACGATCTCATCTATGAACTCAAGTATATACCATAATCTATAACTTTATCTCTCTCCAATTTAGTCAACTTGATGAGAGAGAGAGAGAAGGTAATTTAATGTTTTACAAGGCTTACATATTACTTGATAAACCGATATTATAATGATCATATATCGATGTAATTATTTTTATTATGAAAAATTGTGAAAAATAAAATAATCGAAGGAATTTCTTTCCTTTTTTATTTTTTTTTTTTTT